CTTTCCCTAACTGTCCTTTCTCCCACCATCCCAGCGTCCTCTCATCAGCATCTTAACAATCTTTTCTTTCTTAGATTCTGAGCAAATCATGGTCCTGGTGGCCTGTGGGCCATACACCACATCTGACAGCATCACGTTTGACCCCCTGCTCGACCTGATCACCGTCATCAACCGTGACCAGCCCGACGTCTGCATCCTGGTAGGAGGCCCTCCTGGGACAGCTTCACCCGGGGAGGCACCAATGGGAAAACTGGGGGGTCAGTCTTAGAAGAAGGTCTGATGAGGTTCTAAATTTTTAGGAAGAGTGTGGGACTCTCCTTTTTAAAAATATTTCTTAGTGCTCAGCCTACATCTTGGGCGAGGTGAGGTGTGCGTGGAATTAATCCAGAAGCCCAAGCTGTTTTGCCACCCTGCACTGACTTTACAGTATTCCCACCTCTGTCTCATTACTCCAGTTTGTGAACTCACCTCTTCTGAAAACTCAAAATACAACTGCACGGAGGTAGATTTCCCTTGCTGGGTTGAGAAAGAAAAAAGCCCGGTATTGTAGGAGGCAAAACAGCTAGCATCCAGGAGTCAGGTCCTTCTGCCTGTGATATTAGCTGGGCGCCCTTGCCCCATCTGCTGCCTGTCCCAGGCTGTACAGGTGGCCTTGGAGGGACAATGGACCCTGGACAGACAACTGCTAGGAGAGGTTATGTGAGGGCACTCACAGACACATGTGGTTCTGATTTGTTCTTTTGGTACCTTTGTTTCTCCCCCTCGGGCTTATTTGCAGTTTGGACCTTTCCTGGATGCTAAGCATGAACAGGTAGAGGTAAGTGACTGGGGTTGGGAGGGGGAGATACCGGATACTCACATTCAGTCAAGCCCCCACTGTTACTTTCGTCTCTTTGAGTTTACCCTGCATCTCTAACAACCTAAACGAATCCCTGTGGCTGATCAGGAAAGCGTTATCACAGAGCATTTTTAATAAAGGTACTGAATTTGAGGGCTTCATTTCACCAGAATACAGAGCTGTTTGGAAGCTGGGGGAGGGGGATCCAGATATCCGAGTCCCGGTCCTCCTGGTGTGCGACCGACCCTTGGTGCTGAGGCAGGTGCCCGCGGGTCCCGGAGGTGCACCTGTGAAAGTACCTTCCTGACTGCTACCCTCAGCTCCATGACCCACATCATCTTGCCATCCTTTGAACTTAAAACACAAATGACCCTTCTGAGGACATTTCTTCCCTTTGTCTCGGAGGTTTCACCTGCCACAGAAAAGATTTCAAAACACTCTTCTTCCTAGTCGTCCCCTCGGCTTACTTTGAGGAGGACTGATTCTCCGCCGCCTCCTTCCTGCCCCCAGCTAGACTCAGCTCCTGGAGCACAGAGGCCACTGTGACTCCTTCAGCTCCTCACTCAGGGGCTGGCCCCCAGGGTCATCTGACAAGCGCTCAACAAGTGAATAAATGCCAAACGTCTCCCCTGTAAACCTGTCTCCTCTTTTCTTGCAGAGCTGTCTACTGACAAGCCCATTTGAAGACGTTTTCAAGCAATGTCTACGAACGATTATCGAAGGGACACGAAGGTCAGAGTTCAAAATACTGGGCAGAACCTTACGCTTCCTAAGTTTCTCCAGGGCTTCTCATTAAGAAACTGAAACTGTTCAAAAGTCGTGGTAGTTCCCATCCTTATATCCTTTTGAACTACAAAGATCAGATAGAACCCTTGAACTTCAAGTGCACAGATGCTGAGTGAGGAGGCGTCTTTGTAAAACACAAAGATAAACACACTTGAAAAGGCTACACAGACATTCGCTCTTCCCTTGCTCTTTCCTTCCTTCCTTCCTCCTCTCACTCCCTTTTGTATAAACTCGTATTCCACGGGAATCTTCCCAGGGTGGTGTTTGATGACTTACACCACAAAATCCCTTGTGTGAGTGAGAGTTTGGGGTGAGCCCAAGTCCTTCCCCGAGTCAGTGCTTCCCTCGTTTCACGGGCGCCGCTGCCGCCGCCGGCTTGTATGAACCATCGTAGAAACTCACGAGGGTGGGGATCTTGAATGCTTGCCCCAGACCCTAGGGACGGGACTGGGAAAGGTCATAGCAGTGATGAGAGATGGGCAGTTCTAAATTGAGAGAAAAGCCTCTGTTCCAGGAAGAGTCTAAGCTAGAACTAGAAAGCTTTTTGAGAAGCTGACACCTCCGCTTCCTGTCCCTTCGCTCCAGCGCCAGGGTTTGAGAGAAATTGCCCTTGGTGGCTCTCCTCTGGGCATCTGCCTCCCTGTAGCTGAGCTCATCAAAAGCAAACATTCCCCAGGCTAAGCTTTTCAAAATAAGTCTGTAACAAAGGTGGTTTTTAAAACAAGATGTATAATCTTCTGCCCCTTGGCCGTGAGACCTGATCTCAGGCTTGATTAGCTGTAACTCTACCTTCTTGTACCAGCAGCATGGACCAGTGTCGTAGGCCTCTCGGACTGGGGAAGAACACCCCCAACTGCCCCAGAGTCAGGGGGCTTGAATCGCGCAGGTGACAGCCTGCAGCTGGATCTGCCCCTCCCTCCCTCCAAGTGCGATAACATAGGTGCCTTCCCTCTGCCTCCCAGGTTTGTTGTGACCCTGAATGAGTTTGTTAGACCTGGAGGCTCCTAGCACTCCTCAGGAGATAAATCCCGAAACACGGGAGCAGGGCTGGTGTCCCTGTTTTATCAGCCCTCAGGTCCCCTCTGGGATAGCATAGGCAGGGACTGCGGGGCAGTGCCCTTGCGCAGGCTGGGTGCTTTTCGATTTGAGATGGGGTTCTGCTTTGGGTTCCTCACCCCATATGGTATTGACAGCAGTGCTACAAACAAAGAACAAACCAGGCATTGTTGTCCTGAGGGTGAGCTCCCAGCACCACCAGGCACTTTCATCTGAGGCCAGTGTGTGCCTCGGGGGAGAGGGGCTGCCCCACCCTTCCCAAAACAGTATAAAAATGGCCCTCCTTTGGGGGGAATTTATTTTTATTCTGAGAGGTCAGAAACGCAGAGCATTAAGCTGATTTATCAGCGAAAACCAGAGCCAGTGAGGAAGCACCTCCCCTCGCAAGAGCCCAGCAAGAGCCCGGGGTGGGGGGGGCCGTGGGGGGAGCTTGAGGGAGGGAGCGGCTGCAAGGCTCCTCCCCACCGTGATGTATGAAGTTGTGCAATACTCAGCATAGTTGGAATTTTCTCTCGGATCCCTCCCCCTACAGCCAGCCTATAACCCTGAGCCAGAGGCCCGTTTCCTCCTTAACTGTTGCTCTGCCAGAGCCTGCACAGAAGCAGAGCGAGTCCATCTCCTAACGGCGGCCAGCCGTGCCTCCACCCTTCGTGTCCATTACGGACTGAGCCCCGGGGATCTGAAACACAGACTGTCCCCTTCGGGTCACCCCCCGGTCTGTCTGCCAGACTTCAGCACCCAAATTGGTAGACTTGGCTACTTAGAGGCACTTAACTTTCAATGTCAAAGGAACTATAACTAATTCGCAAAGTGCCTTTGGTCTCAAGATTCTGAATTTCCGCTGCAGAAGCCTCAGTTCACGCTTTGAGCGGGCCTGACAAACAAGTGACAAGTGTGACAACCATCACCAACACCTTTATCCCATGTGAGAGGCAGCCACATCCCTATACCTGCACAGGTGGCTGTACCTGCCTCTGGGAAGCCACTGCGTCTTAAGCAAGAGAGAGTGCTATAAGTGAGAGCTATTGGTGGCTGCTAAACTCGCCCCAAAGTAACACTTTCCGTCTTTACAATAGACCCCACCCCGCCAAGGACAGGTTTTCTCCCCCTTTCTTCTGCGTGGCTGGAGAGGTTAAAGAGTTGGCCTCTAGAGTTACGGGGTTTTTCTTCACTTACATCTTGTAACCCTAGAGATTCTCCTGCCTCCGTCAAAGGAAATGTCTGTCATCTCTGCTTTTACTGTTGCTGTTAGATATTTCTTTCATCTTTGTAAGACAGGCTGCTGAGAAAGAAAAACCAAGGGCCTTGATTCCCTGTGCGGGAGGGGTGGGCGGTGCGGGCTCTTGGCGAACCAGAACCTGCTGTGCCTTCCCGTCCCAGATCTGCTCAGCCTGCCGGGTCCCTCCCGAGGGAAGAGGCCCCCAGGCAGGGAGGCTACATGACGCCTGAAAGCCACGTCTGTTCACACAGTGTGAAGAGTCAGAACTTTGGCTTCAGATCTGGCTCTGAGGATTTTCAGTCAAATCCTTGTCTTTCCTGCTTTCCTAGATCTCCGTTTCTTCTCCCCTTTTTCTACGAAACAGTAGTCCTCTTCCTCTCTCGAGTAGAACATCATACGGAGCCAGGAGAAAGCATGTTCTGGGAGAGAGCCATGAGCCCCATCGAGGTGGTTGTGTGTAAATGAGGACAGATTGTCTCTCGTTCCCGGTGTCCCATGGGGAGCGGCACCCCCCCTTCATAGGAGAGCTCCGTTTGGAACTTCTCCCCTGGAAGCAGGCTCTTGTATCCAGCTCTGACCCTTTAAAGTCTGTCACCCAGCTATGCTAACTCAGCTGCACTCATTTCCCTTCCTGTTCTGATGCTTTTTTTGGCAAAGTAGCTCCGGCTCACACCTCATCTTCATCCCATCACTGAGAGACGTGCACCATGAGCCTGTGTACCCACAGCCGCCCTTCAGCTGCTCCGACCTGCCTCGTGAGGACAAAAAGGTACCAGCGTCCCCTCCTCAACCAGGCAGCCAGAGTCGAATGTGCCGAAGGCGACCCAGCTTGTCCCGGAAGCAGAGGGCGGGGGCGCCTTTTTGAGGCACACGTGGTGCCTGCGTCTTAAGCTTCTCTTTGTAACAGGCGGACGTGTGATTTACTGTCCGTTGGGTTGGTCCCCCTTTCACTGGTCCCCCCAGCCCTTGCAGACCCCCATTTTCATGGGGAAGAAGTTTCTAGCTTTGGTGTGCAAACGTCTGTCCCACCCCTTCTCATTTTAGCGAGTACACTTTGTGTCCGAGCCCTGCACGCTCTCCGTAAATGGAATGATCTTTGGCTTGACATCCACCGATCTGCTGCTCCACATGGGGGCTGAGGAGATCAGTAGGTGAGAAGGGTTTTCCAGTCCCGCAGGCAGTTCCTCTGGATCCTGGTCCTGTCCTTGGCCAAGGGGTTTCTTGGCAGGGTTGAGAGGGCAGCCCCTAGAGCAGCACTTTCTGCCGAAGCCTTTGGCCACTGAGTTTCTCTGCACCCAAGGGGAGCGGTGGGATGCATGTGTTTCTGTTACCACTTGTCTCTGTGGTGTTTGAGAACCTGAAGGACCACATCCATTCTGTCTTTGCACTTAATTTCTAGTCATAGAAGTTCATCTACTTTTCTTTGTTTGCCACATTTGTGACCTAAACAAGATGTCCCTGCTTGTAGAGGGTGACTGAATTCACCCCGCAGGGTGTTCCCCCTTCCAGAACAGTGTGTAGCTCTGCAGAGGATCAGACACAGCCAGATGTGTTGAGCTGAGGCTCAGCAGTTCACTTCTCTCATCGCCGTGATGGGAAGGAGTGTGGAGCAGTTTGCGTCCTAGGCAAGAATGGGTGTGTGTTTGTTGGCTCCGGTTGGAGGAGCAAGGGTCACCCCGGCTACAGCTGGCCTCGCGCTGGGACAGACTCCACGTTCTCTGGCACGATGCGGAGCTGGTGATAGCCTGCCTGGGCCCTGATCGCAAGGGGTTCCTGCTCTTTCCCTTCTCAACCAGGGGTTCCTGCGCTTTCCCTTCTCAACCCAGTGTCCTGCTCAGCAGACCGAGCATTTGCGGGCAGGTCTTTAAACTTCCCCAGAGGTACCTTCTTGTCGCACTCCTTGGCCGCGTCGCTTCTCTCTAGTTTAATAAATCCTCCCCGAGGAGAAACAGGCACTGATAAACAAGGTTCCACTTTCTGTTTCTTGCTTTTCTTCCTCCCCTAGTTCTTCTGGAACTTCAGACAGGTTCAGCCGAATACTCAAGCACATCCTGACGCAGCGGAGGTGAGCCTGCCCGACAGAGTAGCTGACCGTGAAGGGAGTGCTTAGGGGTCAGGGAACTCTGACAGATTTGACCTCGAGACCTTTCCCAGGCCACTACCAGGGAACTCCACCCTGGGATGACAAGCCTGCGTCCTGTCCCCTAAACACAGAGGAAAGGGAGAGACGGTCTGTGAAACCATGGAAACCAGTGACATAGAGGAAATCCATCTGGGGAGGGGGGGTGGTCCCTGAATCAGCTGCCGCTGACTGTCTCTCTCCGTCTCTGCAGCTACTACCCGCTCTACCCTCCCCAGGAGGACATGGCCATTGACTATGAGAATTTCTACGCCTATGCACAGCTGCCCGTCACCCCCGATGTCTTCATAGCCCCTTCAGAGCTGAGATACTTTGTGAAGGTAGGTTTGAACTCCACCATTTCCCAGAAACGCCAGAACCAGTCTCAGAAAACAAATCTGTTAGTAAAACGCATAAGTAAGCAGCATCCCCTTGCTGCCCTCCCCGCCCCAGGGCATGGTACTGAGACAGCCCAGCCTGGGAGCGCAGGAGACAGGTAGGAAGACCCTCAAACCATGGTTTGCACCTGAGGCCACCTCAGGTGCCCTGGGCTTGCCTGCCCCCTCCTGAATTCTGAGATGACCTCCAAGCAGCTCTCGGTCATTCTCATCTCTGCCGCCTGAGGCCCTGCCCGGGGATCGGGTCCCTCACAGGGGATCCACCTGATCAAGCCCCTCTTGCCAAACCAGAGCCAGTTCAACCTCAAGAGGTAAACTTTTTTTCATGTTGGGAAACAAATAGATCAAGTTTGTCTCCAGGTTTGGCAGCTGATTGTCACCCTGCCGAGTCATCTTCTTTATTTTGTTTCAGAGACTCAAAAGGTTCTGAGTTTTCTAATAATAAATTAACATTTTTGACTTAAGGTGCATTTTGTCGGCCTGCATTTCCATTTTATAAAGTCCTCTTTAGGGTCTAATCATTAGATGAGTCCAGCTTTTTCACATCAGTCCCGATGATTTTGGCCTTTCCGAACGCACAGTCTTTCTTTCCTTCCCCCAGGACATCCTTGGCTGCATCTGTGTGAATCCCGGGCGCCTCACCAAAGGGCAGGTGGGGGGCACCTTCGGCCGACTCTACCTTAGGAGGCGGGCCGCGGACACTGAGGGCAGGCGGAGCCCCTGTACTGCTGCCCAGGTGGTCAGGATCTGAGTCTCGGTCCTCTGTCATCCCGCCATCGTGCGGGCCTCCCAGACACCTAGAGCCCGGGAGTAGACCTCTGCCAAGATCCCACCCGTGGAAGGAGAGGGGGCAGCCAGCTGGGGAGGACAGGGCTGCGGGCAGGAGGCCCAGCAGGAAGACCTTGGGCAGCTGGATCCCTACTCCGCGTCGAGCTTCTCTGGAAGAAAGCTGTTGTTTCCTCATGGACACTAGGAGCCCAGCAAGAACTGGCCGTGGACGCGGTACGCTCAGGAAGGTCAAGGCTTTGCGATTTCCTACTGAGTCAGACATAGAAGCAACTTTTGGAGATATGAAAGTAAATTCTGTGACTTCTGAGTTTAATCTTTCTTCCGCTCTGTCTTTTTCCTGGTAGTGAGCAAAGAATGTTGCCCTCCTGGATCTCTGTGCAGCGCCTGTCACAATGGGTTCCGCCCAGCCCCAGCCCCGATCCTCCTAAGGCTGCTCCCAAGGCCCCCGCAGCCTCTGTGCTGAGGAGGCGCTGGGCTTGGGCCACAGAGCGAGCAGCTGGCTGCGGGCCAGGCCCGCCCAGCACGGTCCTCGCTGGCCCGCTGTGGTCCCAGCCTGACCCCTCCATCGGGAGGGGCGGCCTCCCAGAGCTGCGCCAGAGCTGGATTCCCTGGCGCTGGCTCAGCCGAGTCACCAGCAGCCTGGGGCTCACCTCTAGCCCAGAACACTTGGAAGGCCAGGCCTTCCAGGGTCCCCAACACGTCCTTGCACCTGTGTGTCCTGGCATCTGGGGAGAGGCTGTCGCTGGCTAAACGTGGAGTGGGTTTCTGCCCTAAGCTGGCGGCCGTCCTGCCTCACACGCCAAAGCCAAGGCTGGAAACCCACAGCTGTCAAGCCGAGGGAGCAGCCCGTGCCGATGCCTTGAGTCAGAGATAAATAGTTAACCTAACAGTGTGCAACTTTGCCTTCCTCCTCTGATGGTGAGGTGGAATCAACAACAGATCGGACCAGGCTTGGGTAAAACTGGTCTCCCTCTGAAAACAAGCAGTTGCTGCTTTGTTTCATTCGTTTTATAAGTGCCTCCTCTGAAGGCAGGAATTGGAGACAAGCTGCAGCTTGGGGAGCTGATTTTCCCTCCTCCCCAGGATCCCCCACACGGGAAGCATCCAGCCACGGTCAAAGGGCCACTGTGACTTAGCAGCCTCAGGATGGAGCCCGGGCCCCTCTTCCACAACCTGATAGAGTTGCCGCAGTTCGAGAATGTCATTTGTATTTTTATCAAGCCACATATCAGCTAAAAACCCACCCCTCCCCGCCTTGGAAAACCCTTGCCTGGGAAGATTACAAGCCTTTGGCCACAATAGACAAGGCTCCGGCCCTTACTGTTTGAGCCCATGTGTGGCTCCTTGGGTGTCACGGCTCTGGGAATTATTCTTATGTTGCTGCTGAAACAGCCTTGGGAATGGTAATGTCTTGGTGCCCGTTTGTCAAGGACGATCCAGAGGCCCCAGTGGGATGGGGTGGTTTACAGAGGGGAGAAAAGACCTGTATCCTGGTGGGAGGGAGGCGTGTGTCAGGCAGGCAGGCGGTGGCGTGCAGCTTCCCGGGAAAGAAAGCTGGTGCTCCGCGTGAATGGGAACAAGAGCCCGTTGCCTGGATACAAGTTGTGTGACTGTTGGCAATGCTCTGGGAGGACCTGAGCAGGCATTTAAAACAAAAAAAGCAGGATGAGAACCCCAGATTGCAGACAGGTCTGGCGACCCATGCCCCTCTGACACCAGATGCTTCCCTTTTGCTCTTGGCGGGAAGTCGGTGCCCAGCGACTACCAGCTGACTGCTCCTCGGCCCCTCTTCACCTGGGTCACCAGTTTCCTGAAGCCTCATCCCACTTGCTTGTGGGGGGATCTCTTCCCCCCTCCCCTCACTGGGGCTCAGGATTCTGAAATAAGGCTCTGGGAGGGGGGCACTGGTGATGGGGGTGGATGAAGTGGAGGAACCTGGCTGGGCCTGGACTCCTAGGACCCACCTCCTTCAGAATCCCCCTTGGTGGCATCTTCCCTCGTCCTGGTCGTGCCCTGGGCCTTCAAGACACAAGCCCAAGGATGAAGCAGATGGTTCTGAAGGAGCAAAGTCCTGCGCTCTTACCACGTTTGCCTCCTAGGCCTCGATGCCCCAGCCCTGCCCAGCCCTGGCCTCGGTGTTTCCTTTCCCTTCACTCAGGGTCACCTAGCCCGACTCAGCCAGCCTTGTGGCTTCCCCTAGTGCTGGGAGTAGCCATTTGGGCTGATTTTTCACTTCTCTGTTTGATACATGCTTCCTTTCCCCCGACCCTGGGGCTCCTGGCTGAGCCACCTGAGAGCCAGTTCTGGTTGGACACACGTGGCCTCTCCCTCCAGACGGCCCTCTAAGTAGATGTGAAAGGTCTTGACTGACTGGGGTGGGGTGAGGTAGGTTTTTTTTTTTTTTTACATTAAAAAAGAAATGTTACTGAGATATAATAACACGAATTTCACTTTTTTTTTTTTTTTTTTTTTTGCCAGCGAGGTCTGTGGGATCTTAGTTCCCAGACCAGGGATTGAACTTGGGACCCCAGCAGTGGAAGTGCAGAGTCCTAAACACTGGACCGCCAGGGAATTCCCGAATTTCACCATTTTAATGTGTATAGATAGTTCATTGGCTTTTAGTACATTCACAGTGTTATGCAAACATCATCACTATTTCTAGAATATTTTCATCACCCCAGAAAGAAGCCCCATACCTTCCTTTTTTTTTTTTTTTTTTTTTTTGCCAGCGAGGTCTGTGGGATCTTAGTTCCCAGACCAGGGATTGAACTTGGGACCCCAGCAGTGGAAGTGCAGAGTCCTAAACACTGGACCGCCAGGGAATTCCCGAATTTCACCATTTTAATGTGTATAGATAGTTCATTGGCTTTTAGTACATTCACAGTGTTATGCAAACATCATCACTATTTCTAGAATATTTTCATCACCCCAGAAAGAAGCCCCATACCCACTAGCACTCACTCACCATCTCCACCCCACTCCCATCCCCTGGCAAACGCTAAACTACTTTCTGGCTCTATAGATTTACCTATTCTGGGCATATCGTATAAATGGAATCATACAGTATGTAGTCTTTTGTGTCTGGCTTCTTAGCATAATGTTTTCAGGGTTCACCCATGTTGTAGCATTATCAGTGCTTCGTTCCTTTTTATGACTGAATACTGTTCCACTGTACAGATAGACCATATTTTGTTTATCCATTCATCAGCTGATGGACATTAGTGTTGTTTCCACTTTTGGGGCTATTGTGAGTAGTGCTGCTATAAACACTCTGTATAAGTTTTTGTGTGAACATGTTCTCAAAACATGTTCTCTTGGGTATATTATATACCCAGGTATGGTAGGGGGAGGGGCTTTAGATTTATGGAAGAAGGGAATGCAAGGGAAGGGAGGGAGAAGAGAAAAAAGAAAAGGAAAGAAAGAAGTGATGGGCCTGGAACTGCTTGCTTAGGAGCCAGATGACTCAAGGAGTCTAGACTGCCTTGCTAAGAAGTTTGGATCGATTCTTGTGCCTTGGGGAATCTTTGAAGGTTTCTGAGTAGTGGAAGGACAACATCCAATCTGTGTCTTAGGAAAGGGCTGGCAGTGCTGCAAAGGGCAAAGTGAAGCTGGGAGAGGCGGGAGATGGGAGACACTTTCAGAGCCATCAGAGGACAGAGCCCCCCCAGCAGTCTCTCTCTGTTCCTATGGAAACAGTACCCCAGTTACCCTGTGGAGGAACTGCCTGTCCTCCCCCCACCTCCCTTGCCTAAACCAAACCGCCCGTTGCATTTCTCTGGCCTCAGTGATTGGCCATGGATAGGCACAACCTAAGACATGCCAAACACAATGACTCTAAGGTTTCTGCTGGAGGTGGGAGAAAAGACACACCATAGGGTGGAGCTGCTGCAGCCATCTTGCCACCATGAGGGGAAACGCCTCCTGAATATGGATCAGACCAGAGGACAGAGAGCCAGAAGCTGGGGAGAGAGGTCAGCACCAGGCTACAATGTCCGAGCTCTGGTGAAGTGAGCCTCCTGCCCCCAAACCTAAAGCACAAATACCAATCCCCCTTTGCAACAATGTGTGTGAACCTAGAGAATATTATGCTTAGTGAAGTCAGAGAAAGACAAATACTCTATGTTAGCACCTATATGTGGAATCTAAACAATAAAACAAACAAATGTATATAACAAAACAAACAGACTCAGATACTGAGAACAAAGTAGTGCTTACCAGTGGGAGGAGGAAGGGGGAGAAGCAAGATAGGGGTATGGGATTAAGAGATAAAAACTGCTATATAAAAAATGGATAAGCAACAAGGATATAGTGTACAGCAAAGGGAAATATAGCCGTTGTTTTGTAATAACTTTAAATGGAGTATAATCTATAAAAGTACTGAATGACTATGTTGTACACTTGAAACTAATATTGTACATCAACAATACCTCAATTTAGAAAATAAAATAAAAAGAGAAACAGCAAATACCACCACCACCACCACCATCCGGGTTTTGTTTGTTTGTTTGTTTTGGCCATGCTGCGCAGCTTTCGGGATCTTAGTTCCCTGACCAGGGATTTAACCTGGGCCACAGCGGTGAAAGCGCCAAGTCCTAAGCCCTAACCACTGGACCACAAGGGAATTCCCCCCCACACCCCTTTTTTTTTCTTAAGTTTAAGTTGGGGAGAAAACACAGCTTGGGTAGGAAGGAAAGGGAATTACCGTTTCTGAGGACCAACTGTGTGTACTTTGACATAGAGATCACATCTAACCCTCTGGCAGGCTCCAAGAGGTTCAAGATCACTGGCCGAAGTAAGCAATGGGGCTGGGATTTGAACTCCAATCCCTTGTCTCTCCTCTGTGCCATACTGACCAACTGGGCCACCCAGCAAGGACAGACTTCAGAGGAGTCCCAGGGAGCAACCCAGGTGCCTGGGAGCATGTGGGAGGAGGGGATGCCTGGGTCTGTTGGGGCAGGTCGG